ATTGTTAATAACTTTTGATTGAGAAAAGATAAGGCATTTACAATTGACATGTGCATTACCTGTTTCAAGACCTTTCCGATTGTTTACTCTGGCTTTTGATATTTTTTTCACATGTACATTACTTGTGACAAGACCTTTTTATTATATTTTATTTTATTATATTTGACCTCATGACCTTGATCTTGAAGTTTGATGTAGTTTGAGAAGCTATAATCTTTGCCATAACTGTTATTGATTCAATAATTTATATCTTTTTTTGTATAATGCACAGCAAGACAGGACACACAAACAAGACAGTAACAATATGCCATAAATAATGGCATTCAAACCACTAAGACACCGAAAGCGGGGAACCACAATTCTTTGAATTTGCTCGTTTCTTTTTGAAGACACACAGATTGTATTTACTTTAATTAGAAAATGCGCATTTTTCACCACGGAGCAGCTAGAAATATTAACAGGTTCATCTTTAGAAGACATGTTGTGACCTTAATTTCTAGTAGAGTGATTTTTCAAGTTTTCATATTGATAGATAGATAAATAAGTGCCCCGCCACAGCATGATACGTCCGTCAAATATTGTTCAATTGTCATAAACAGTTTAGAGTGCCAGAAAATCATGTCAACCTTGATTCAAAGATTTCCATGATTTTTCCATTCCTTATCATATTTCCTGCTTACACATCTCCTGTAGTGTAGGCATTAATTATACATGTAACAAATATTACATCACAGATTTTTCAACTGGTTGTGACAGAGCTTGACAAATGCCTGTCTGCAACACCCCCCCCCCCCCCCTCATCTTTCATATTTATTTGATATTTTCAAAATCAATAACAATGTCAAATAAGTCTTAAAAATTTAATCTATACCAAATTAATTTTGAAAATAAAAGGCTGGCCATCAAATGACATATGCTATAAACTGACTAGTAGATCTTTTGTCTAGTTCCCAAAGGATGCAGATAAGAACTGCTGGATCAGAGATGCTCTAACAGAAATGATTGAGACAGCTAGCCTTCCTACATTGAACTCATCAATTAATTATAATCTTTAACTGGATGCATGTCTACTCATTACTCCCAATGGATGAATGGATCTGCACCATCTGCTTTGTAGTCTAGCTGTATTGCAGTAAAAATGCATATTTATGTCATTCTGTTGAAAACAGAGATTTTTTAAATTTGTTACAAAGATTAATAAAAAGAAACAAAAACTTGTGTAATCTTGATGCAACATTTTTAATAAGTTTACTGCTCTTAGATTTGTAGGGACTACATGTATCTACCATAAAACATTTTTTTTTTAAAAATACTTGATTTTTTTTAAAGATTTAATGTCAGACTGGTTTTAAACTGCAGTGCATACGGACAAATGAACATGCTAAATCCAATACCCCCCCCCCCCCTATAACTAGTTTTTATTATATTATACAATATCAAATTAGTTTATTTTACAATATCAAATTAGTTTTAATTACTTTTTACCAAATTCATTTTAAAAGTTGGGCTAGCCAACAAAATCTCTTTAATCAAACAGGGCTGATTCCTTTGCCCAATTCCCAAGAGATACAGATAACACCTGCTGGATCAGAGATGCTCTACCAGTTAGCTCCTCACACTACAACTCATTAATTTCTCTTTAATTTGACATGCAATTTTCTGTTATAAAATTCTCCTTGACCAGTGCTTGATATTTACACCCATGGGAGAGGTGGAATTTCTCTTATAACATTACATTTGTTATAGATTGCTGTAAAGTATATAATAAAAAAAATAAGTATTTTCTTGATTTAACATTTTTTAATAAGGATACTGCAACACTCTTACATTTTTTGGTATTGTGTAATTCAATAGTATAGAAACAGTTTGTTTTTTTTAAATTTCACTTAAATTAAAGGTCACAGTGACCTTGACATAGATTGCGACACACCTTCTCCCTAAGATGCATAAATTGGCCAAGTTTGATGATTCTAAGTCTAATAGTTTTCTAGTTATGAGCCGGACAGGATTTTTCCATATTTGGCCATAGCATCTTAATTAAAGGTCAGAGCGACCTACTTTTAATGCGCGACACACCTTCTACCCAAGATTTATCAGCTGACAAAGTTTGATAATTCTATGCTTAATAGTATTAAAGTTATGAACCGGACACGAAAAAGCTAACAGACGGACGGACGGACATGAACGCTATAACATAATACGTCCCGTCTTAAGACGGGCGTATAAAAATCGGAATAATTTAAGTCAAGTTTTTAACAGTTACAATATAAATTGTCCCATTTTGCATATATATCTCTTTTATAATGCATATTTACTTCTCAAACTCTCTCTAATTGATCTGACTTGAAAAGTCAACTTTGAGAGTAAATATCTCCTTTTTTGCAAATAGAATCTAAAATCTGACAAATGCAATCTTTTGCTAAGTCTTTTATTTAGCATTTCTGAGAAGTGGCATTTATAATTGCCACACTTTCCAATACTTTGCACGGAGTTTTTGTAGACCCATCATTTCTGCCCAAAAATTTTTGAGTGTTTGCTCATGCGCGGACTCTATTTTCAGAGTCTTTTTCAATCTCAATTTCTTAATTCCGGAAACTGTTTTTGGAGTTCGTCTAGACTGATGAATATAAAACATCAACTGTGTAACGTACGCTTTTATGCGGTAAGTACAATTTAATGTTCTAAAAAAAGGAACCTGTCGTTTTGTCGATAGTAAATGATAAGAAATTTGTATATTACAAATGAAAAACATATATATATTTTAAAGATGTACTTCATGGAAGTCTATGTTTTGTGTATCTCGTAATTTATAAAGGGAAAGAACATTCTGATGTATGATCTTTTTAATGTACAGTTAACCTTTAATCCTGAATAACTTCTCCCTCCTCAGTCACATACACCAAAACTTGTATGTATAGAGCAGTCCGGTCCTCCGGGCTGCAATCACAGTGAACGACATGATTTGATCACATGACCAACCATGTTCATTTCCCACAGAACTTTTTAACATTGTTGTTTATTTCTTAAATACTCATACATGTACATGCAGTAAATATACATGAAAGTAGGGTATGGCCATACTCCTTTATCCTACAGAGAGAGAGAGAGAGAGAGACTAAAATGCATCAATTCTGTTCCATTTTATTTACAAATAATCTTTAAGCATTAAGGTAGTCCCTATCCTCAGGTTTATAAAAACAACAGTAAAGTAATTGAATTTGCTCACAAAAAATATATCTGAATTTACAAAATGATGTATATTTACCCACAGTAATTCTTCAAAGTTAATCATTATTGATGATCATATTATACAAGTAAAATTAGCAAATCTCCAATATATATTAAGAAAAAAGGTAAAAAGAAACATCAACCATACATTTTCTAATTTAAAATTGATCAACAAATATAATTTAGGTTAAAAAACTATAGGTATCCAGGGATTCAGAGAAATTTGCATGTTTTTAATACTTATTCAGTATTCTAGGTCTTCTATTTCCATCAGTTATTATATAATGCATAGTGTAACAAGAGGCCCAGGGGCCACATCACTCACCTGAGCACTATGGCTAGAAAAAAACAGAAATCAGTTCAGTCTTGAAAGGTTGAAAAGTTTAAATATAAAAGTGGGGGGGGGGGGGGGGGTCATGAATTGAACAAATTTGAATCTACATTATCTGAGGATGCTTCCATTTAAATATGACCAATCATGGCTTTGCTGTTCTTGAGTAGAAGATTTTTAAAGATTTAACCTATGTATTCCTATGTAAAACTTTGATCACCCATTGTGGTCCCACCCGACCCCAAGGGGTCATGTTTGAACAAACTTGAATGTACACTATCTAAGAATGCTTCCATATGAATATGCATATCATGGCTTTGCTGTTCTTAAGAAATAGTTTTTTTTTAAAGACTTTTACTATGTGTTCCTATGTAAAACTTCGATCACCCATTGTGGCCCCACCCTATCCCCGGGGTCATGGTTTGAACAAATTTGAATCTATACTATCTGAGGATGCTTCCTTGTAAATATGACCAATCATGGCTTTGCTGTTCTTGAGAAGAAGATTTTTAAATATTTTTCCTATATATTCCTATGTAAAACTTTGATCGCCCATTGTGGCCCCACACGACCCCCGGGGGTCATGATTTGAACAGACTTGAATCTACACTATCTGAGGATGCTACCATATAAATATGACCAATCATGGCTTTGCTGTTCTTGAGAAGAAGATTTTTAAAGATTTTTCCTATATATTCATATGTAAAACTTTGATTGCCCATTGTGGCCCCACCCGACCCCCAGGGGTCATGAGTTGAACAAATTTAAATGTACACTATCTGAGGATGCTTCCATGTAAATATGACCAATCATGGCTTTGCTGTTCTTGAGAAGAAGATTTTTAAAGATTTTTCCTATGTAAAACTTTGATCGCCCATTGTGGCCCCACCCGTCCCCCGGGGGTCATGGTTTGAACAGACTTGAATCTACATATCTGAGGATGCTTCCATGTAAATATGACCAATCATGGCTTTGCTGTTCTTGAGAAGAAGATTTTTAAAGATTTTTCCTATATATTCATATGTAAAACTTTGATTGTCCATTGTGGCCCCACCCGAACCCCAGGGGTCATGATTTGAACAAATTTGAATATACACTACCTGAGGATGCTTCCACATAAGTTTCATATTTTCAAGCACAGTTGTTCTTGAGAAGAAGATTTTTTAATGATGCCATTAATTTTTCACAAATTCTTAATTATCTCCCCTTGGAAGAAGGCGTGGCCCTTCATTTGAACAAACTTGAATCCTCTTTACCCAAGGATACTTTGTGGCAAGTTTGGTTGAAATTGGCCCAGTGGTTCTTGAGAAGAAGATGAAAATGTGAAAAGTTTACAACAACAACGACGACAGACAACGGACAAATTTTGATCAGAAAAGCTCACTTGAGCCTTTGGCTCAGGTGAGCTAAAAAGCTTGTGCTATCATTGCAAGACATCACAGATCACTTCCAATTTCATATCTACTAATAAGCATTGGTATCTAAGGCTAGATTTAAAAAAAAAAATCCTATTTCTCTAAAACTACATGTATTTATTTTTGACATTTATAAGGAACAAACATTTTACAAGTCCCTTTCTAAAGACTTCACAGAACCTTGAACAGTATTAAGATGCATAAAATAAAAATTGTTGCATGAAAAGTTTTCAATTTCAAGCTCCACTTTTTGAATTAAATAATTATTTTATGAGTTATCCTTCCTGGCTGAGGATTGGATATCCTTAACAAGATGATTCATCATCTGTATGGTTGGGTAGAAAAGTTTGTTTCACAGGATCAGGTCTAGATGAGGAACTTTCTTGGTTTCTATATCTCTGAAAAAATATACGTTACATGGACATCAGGAAAAAAATCTAAACATCTATCTTTTAAAATACATGATAAACACAAGTAAAGTGAGGATCTACTCATTATCTTTAAATGGATACAAGTATGTATATAGAATTAAAGTTGCATCAACTTACAACAATGTTAACTAAACCAGAAGTCTCTGACAAGACTGTAGTTCTACAGGTATGCACTTATCATAAAGGAAGATAGTTTACTTCTGTACCAAGTCTTATTGAAATCTGACCGAAACTATAGGAGGAGTAATGCTTTGAAACAATTTGTCTTAGTATAGTCTACTTGTGTAACAAGTCTTATTGAATTAGATTTAAACTGTAGGAGGAATTACAGATATTTCTATTTTCAGTAACCATGGCAACACTGTCATAATCAAAAATTGATATTTATGCATCTTGGTGTAGTCTACTTACAGTACCAACCAGACCCAACCTGACACCTAAGCAGTCCCAGAAAGCAGTCCCCAGGACTGCTTTGGGACCGCTGTGGGACTGCTCTGGGACCACTGTGGGACTGCTCTGGGACTGCTCTAGAAAGCAGACCCAGCAGTCCCTGGGACTGCTTTCTGGGACTGCTTTGTTCACTCATGCATGAAAAAGGTTCTGAGTGACATGATAGCTCCGCCCCTTGTGTATTCTGAATTTGCAGGCTCCCTGTTGTTGTTTTGTTTACTTTCAGCAGAGAGGTGTTTAAGATAAAGAATTAAAAAACCCAAGGATTTCTTAAAACATTTTAATAAGTAGAGATAGATATACATGTTATTACTAAATGTCTTCAGGGGCTGTAAATTTACACAATTGTAGTCTAGAATTAATTTTAAAAAATGAAAGTATAGTTTAAAGGGAAGTCAGGAGATGACTTTTATCCCTTAAATTAAACTTTCATAGAGGTGTTTGAAAAAAAAATATTGGCCTATTTAATTAATTAATGCTAATTAAAACTTTAATACAGGTGTTTTAAAAAAATATATCTAGGTCTATTTAATTAATTAATGCTGTCAAGTTACGGTATGTACTCAAAGTTTACATAAGCACTATTTAAAAAAAAACAAAACAAAAAACAAACTTACTTGTCATTACAATAAGATATTCAGAGGGACGTACTGTACTGTATTTTTTTTTAATTGAAAAAGCTAAAACCATGCTAAAAAAAAGAGCATTCCATGCTATTTTTTACCGCCCTCAAATAAAACCTAATAATTTAGTAAATGACCATGAATTATTCTACCATTCTTCAGTCATTTAAACAATTATATTTGTGAACAATTATTGGGAGATTTATTTATGAATTTGTTTTTGATTTATAAACAAGTTATTAAAAGAGTAAATTTATAAACATTTTAAAATATTGGAAATTGTGACTTATTTCTTATTTGTTTTGTTTGGTTTTTTCCTGGCCGATTAATAAAAAGCAATACAAATATATAAAATGGTGTCAACACCTGAGATTTCAATCGCCTTCGGGCATGATTAGCAGAAAGTCAATGCATGTTATTTGGGTATCAGTGTTACACATCACTGAACATGCTGGTCAACAATGACACTAATTTCAATCTATGTACTGCAAAAAATCTATGTTTCAATAAATGTGTATAAATTTATTTCGGGATTAATTAATTTTGAACATAATCTGAGGGTTCCATTCGCGTGATTTACAGATGTACACTCAAACGTTTATATAATAAAAGTATTATTGTTTTCTGTTACATAGATAATCTAACGATAATTAGATTGGCAAGTCAGTGAAAATAATCATGACTGAAATATAATACTCAAAGAATTTTCAAAAGCTCCAGTACTTAAGAAAACTGCATTCAGAGTATATTAGTATGGAAATCGGTCTTGCTCTATAATCATAAGGTCTATTTAAAGCTAGTTTTGATAGAAAATAAATAACTCAAGTTTAATTTTCTATAAAAAATAAATATATAAATATGGCAACCAATATCAATCACAGTAAATAAAGAAATTGATTTATTTTGGTGAAAAATTAATATACTACAAAACTGTGTTTAAATATTCATGTTATAAGTAGATGTGAACGTCTTCTTTGTTCAATATTTATTATTTGTTTCTATACGCGTAGTGTGATTTTCTTAACTGTTCAAGAATTACTGTCGCATGAGAATTGATACTGCTCAGAAAGAAATGGATCATCAATTTCAACTGTCTTTTATAGTTACATTGTTTATTGGTAATCTCATTTCTGAGTAAGCTCCGCTCATTAAATTAATTAACCCCGCCCACTGGGACTGCTTTCTGGGACCGCTGGGACTACTTTCTGGGACCGCTGGGACCGCTGTGGGACTGCTCTGGGACCGCTGTGGGACTGCTCTGGGACTGCTAAAGCAGTCCCAGAGCAGTCCCAGAAAGCAGTCCCCGGGACTGCTCTGGGACTGCTTTGTGTCAGGTTGGGTCTGGTTGGTACTGTATCTATTAGGAACAAAAAATGTAGGAGTAGTAGTGTTCTGAAATACATAGAAATATCAAATTTTAGTACCTATTTCAACATTGAAAGAGATCTGATATATGGGGTCAAGTATCTTCTTAAGGTCTATCTATGTACAAAGTCCTATTGAAATTGGACCAAAACAGTAGGAAAGGTATTCCTAGTTACCATGGCATCACCCTTGTCAAAATCAAAAACCCATACTTAGAATATGCATCTTGTATAAAGTATTTTTGTCTCAAGACTTATTCAAATCAGGCCAGAACTATAGGAACAGTAATGTTTTGAAATAATTTCAAAGAAATTTCTGTCTTTGGTAACCATGACAAAACCATTTGTCAAAATCAAAATCTGATACTTTGAATAATGTATCTTAGTATAGTCTACTTGTGTACCCAGTTTTATTGAAATCAGACTAAAACTGTAGGAGGAGAGTTTTAAAGAAAGAAGACGGGCGAACAACCTGAGCAATTTTTCATACTAAAACACAATTTTTCAATATGAGTGGGACTTTGCTCAATTTTTTTTTGAAGGTTATACTGAAAGTTTGTATGAAAATATGATATACATTCTAAGGTTAACAAAAAACATGGAGCAAAGACCCACTATACCTTAAAAATACAATTTTATGACACAATATTTGTATCTCTCCTGGAAATATTTTTAATGCTTGGGTTGGAACCCAAGAATAGCACGCTTTTTTTAAAGTCATAGAACGATTTCTGTCAAAAGAATTTCTGCAGAAAAGTTTTGTTCCTCATAATTTCATAACTATCAATGATAAGAACTTACATGTAACTCTACATACTAGATTCAAAAATTGAATATGACTTTTATATATTTGAGGCTAAAGGCATTTAGAATGAATTGTTTGCCTTATTCTTAGTAACCATGGCAACAACATTTGTCAAAATCCAAAAACCAATGCTTAATATTATGTATCTTGGTATAATCTACTTGTGTATGAAGTCTTATTGAAACTGAACTAAAACTGTAGGAGTAGATTTTAAAAAAAATGTTTTACTTTACAGACAGAAGGACGGACAGACAGACACACACACACAGACAGACAGACACAAACACAAGGGTAAAACAGTATGCCCACCTCTCCTTCTAGCGGAGGCATAAAAATTTGATTTATATAACTTACTTTCCGCAATTTAATTACAGCAACAATGACGATGATAAAAACTCCACCAACAACTGAAGCACCAATAATTACTCCCTCACTGTAAAACAAAGACACCAAGAGCTTCAATTATCATGTATATAAAAAAAATATGGATATATGACACAGATACAGATTTTAAAACATATAAAGCACATTTTAAATGAAAATCTGCCAAATATAACACAAAATACTGCAATAAACACAAGTCATGGTGTTTGATATTTCCTACCTAAAAACCCTTATTCCTTCTTGTATGCACAAAGTCTAATTGCTTCACAGATAAATAAATATTAAAATAATCAAATGTTGTTTTTATGCCCCTGTATCAAAGATTGGGGGGTATGTAGTTTTTGCCCTGTCTGTCCGTTTGTCTGTTTTTCCGCAAAAACTTTAAAATTTCTCATTACTTTTGATTGGTCAGAGCTATGGCTTTCATATTTCACATGTGTACTCCTTGTGACAAAACCTTTCTTTGGATACTATCATATTTGACCTTAACCTTGGAGTTTGACCCAGTTTTGCAAAATTTTACCCAACTTTAACCTTGGCCATAACTTTTGAACAATTGGTGCTAGGGCATTCATTTTTCACATGTGTAATCCTTATGACAAGACCTTCCTTTAGATATCAACAATTATAGCCCATTGACCTTGACCTTGGAGTTTGACCTATTTTTGGAAAACTTTAACCATGGCCATTACTATTGAACAGTTGATGCTAAGGCTTTCATTCTTCACAGTGTAATCCTTGTGACAAGACCTTCCTTTAGATACCAACAATTATAGCCCATTGACCTTGACCTTGGAGTTTGAACTACTTTTGGAAAACTTAACTTTTGCCATATCTTTTGAACGGTTTGAGTTAGGGCTTTCATATTTCACATGTGTATTTCTTGTGAAATGGCCTTTCCTTGGGCACTATTCATTTTGACCATTTGACCTTTACCTTGGTGTTTGACTTACTTTTGAAAAACTTTAACATTTTCCATATCTTTTCAATGGTTGCTGCTAGGTCTTTCATATTTCACAGGTATATTCCTCGGGACAAGACCTTACTTTGGGTACCAACATATTTGATTTGCATTTGAGAAAGTTTAATCTTCGCTATAAGTTGCCATACGGGGGCATCATTGTTTCACAAACACATCTTGTTTTATATTAATTTGATGTTAAAAAGTTTATAACACAGTTTAGTATCAATTTTATAGGTGTGACGCAGCTCATGTGAGCTAAAAAGGATCAACTTTAAATTAAGAATGTTTGAACTAATAAGCAGAGAGTTTTGCAAAAGCAATACTAGTCTCGTACCAGCAAATGTAATCTGCTTTCCCTCAATAAGCTAACAAGAGGTCATTGGTCCACAAAGCTAACCTGAGTATTCATGGCTTTTTACTTTCCCCCGTAATTTTATGTGCCCATTATATTTTTGAAAGATTTGTCCTTTATATCCCTATGTAAAAACTTTGATGGCCTTTGGTGCCCCCCCCCTCCCCTGACAACTGTCGGATCAGGTAATTAAGCTAAAATCATCAGAGGTGTGATCAGGTGATATAGGATAATGTGTATATCATCAGTTTCTGAGAGGGGTCATATGGATTTAGAACACCTATTACTGTGACTCACTTATTCCCTTCAGATTCCTCAGAGGTTTTATTGGGTGGGGCTGCTGTAGTCATTACTCCATGTTCAAGACTGGTCCCTTTGCCAGGAGTTACTTCAGCACTGGTAACAGTAGTTTGCTTAGTTGTCAAGGCTCTTTCATCTTTCAAACATTTTGCCACTAAATAACAAAAAAAAAACATGAATTACATGCAGTTCTTCCTGAAATTGTTTATCTCATGACTAATCTGATTATGGCAGGTAAAAAGTTTTCATTGGTTGGTGTGCTCACCAGTCTGAGAGTCATTTTAAACATGTAAAGGCTGGGTGAAAAATGCTATGGACTAATTTGAACAAGTTTATTGATATACAGTTGAACTTTGATATCTCGAACACTGATATCTTGAATACCATGGATATGTCAAAGTGATTTGGAAGTCCCAACCGCTCATTCTTTAAGTATTTTACCCTGGATATCTCGAATCCACAGATATCTCAAAGTTTTTTCTTGGTCCCACTGAGTTGGAGATAATGAGGTTTGACTATACATATCATTTAATGAAAGTTTAAGACAAATACATAAATTTGCTCTTAAGCTGGGATAAATGAGTTTTCTGGCAAGCTGACAAATCACATACTATTTTCAGGAAAATCAATTGCTTCAAAATATCTTACCTTCGCTTGAATTTGAAAGTCGGTAGTGGTCACTGCAGTTGTCACATTCGTTGTCTCTGACGTTAATTACATAGTCACCATTTCTGTCATTCCATTCTGGACAGCCTTTACCATTTATACAGATGTCAGGAGCACATCCAACTGCCAGGTCTGATTCAGGGACGACAGGCAAACAAACAAGTATAAGACCGTTTCCACATTGCAAGTTGACATTGTGAGTTGTACAGGATTCATTTCTGCTCAAGATGTAAGGGTTTGAAACCCGGATTGGGGCTGGAACACAGTTGGATCCCTATAAAATAAAACAATTTTGAGATACAATGCTTCTCTTTTTCACTTCGTTTTTTTTGGCTGAGCCCCCTTGCATAGACCCATCCATATACTAAATAAAGTGCCCTGCCACAGCATGATACGCCTGTCAAATATTGTTCGATTGTCATAAACAGTTTAGAGTGCAAGAAAATCATGTCAACCTTAATACAAGGATTTCAATGATTTTTTCAATTCCTTATAATATTTGTTTATACATCTCTTGTGGTGTAGGAATTATAACAAACATTATAAATCCTCAACTGGTTGTGTTAGAGCTTGACAAATGCCCATCTGCACTCCCCCCCCCCCCCCCCCCAGCTTTCAGATTTGTGAGACATGATGCTTTGAATTAGTTGATATTTTCAAAAAAATAAATAAAAATATCATATTAAACAATATCAATCTTAATCTAACTTAATTTTAATCAACTTAATCTATATCCTATTAATATTAACAAGAGGCTCAATCTTAATCTAACTTAATTTTAATCAACTTAATCTATATCCTATTAATATTAACAAGAGGCCCAAGGGCCTTGACGGTCACCTGAGTACAACAATTTAGAGGATCCATAAACTGATAAATGAAGCTTTGTTTCCCAATAGCAAGGAAAACAGTATGATTAAGATCAACAAAATAATTTGTCTAGTATCTTTCTATCTGTCCCCCATTTATCACTATGCAGACCATGCAGACTTTTAACAAAATGCTTATATTATTACCTCTCACATTGGCCTCACTTGGCCTTTGAAGAACATTTAAAAAGATAAGTTATTTTTGTTTCATTTTTATTCATCTATTATTTCCAAGTCTACCTGATTATTAAAACTATGAAAGTACTTTTTGTATTATACAATAAATGTTCTTGCATAATTCTCTTATTCTATTAACCTATCAAATATGTTATCTACAGTGATTAATTATCAAAGGTGAATGGCGAGGGGGAATAACTTCACTCTGTAGAATACAAATTAATAGAGCCCTGGCCAGGACCAGAACACTTGACTAAATGGTCCAGATGTTCAAAATTCTGGTAAAAATACCTTGCTTATTAAAACTTTTACTCTGTTTGCTTCCAATATGCCCAGGAGCAGAGGAGATTTTCAAAGAAATAATGCATTTTCACTATTTAAAACAGCCCTACCCTAACACCAGAACCCATGACCTAGGGTCATGAAAATTTACAAATTTGGAAGAGGTACCCTCGTCATCATAACTATGCAATTAGTTGAAGATTTTCAAAGAATTCACACATTTTCACTATATAATCAAATAGAGCCCCCCCTCCCCCTTCAGAGAAACAACAGAACCCTTGGGGCCACAAGTTTTCTATACACTTGTTTCTTTGCTTTATAAGCAGAAGTAAAAAAAAATATTTTGAGAGAAATTATGAATTTTCACTATATAAACAATAGAGCCCCCCCCCCCTTTCACCAGAACCCCTGACCCAGGGGCCATGAAATTCACAATTTTGGAAGAGGCAGCCATGCTCATCATAACAATGTACTTACTTAGTATATTTAATACCCAGGAGCAGAGAAGAAGATTTTCAAAGATTTAATGCATTTTCACTATATAATCAATAGAGCCCCGCCCTAACACAAGAACCCCTGACCCAGGGGCCATGAAATTCACAATATTGGAAGAGGCAGCCATGCTCATCATAACAATGTACTTACTTAGTATATTTAATACCCAGGAGCAGAGAAGAAGATTTTCAAAGAAATAATGCATTTTCACTATATAATCAATAGAGCCCCGCCCTAACACAAGAACCCCTGACCCAGGGGCCATGAAATTCACAATATTGGAAAACACAGCCATGCTCATCATAACAATGTACTTAGTTTATTTCATACCCATGAGCAGAAGATTTTCAAAGATTTAATGCATTTTCACTACATAATCAATAGAGCCCCGCCCTTACACCGGAACCCCTGACCCAGGGGCCATGAAATTCACAATTTTGGAAGAGGCAGCCATGCTCATCATAACAATGTACTTAGTTAGTTAATTTAATACCCAGGAGCAGAGAAGAAGATTTTCAAAGATTTAATGCATTTTCACTATATAATCAATAGAGCCCCGCCCTTACACCGGAACCCCTGACCCAGGGGCCATGAAATTCACAATTCTGGAAGAAGCAGCCATGCTCATAATAACTATGCACTTAGTTAGTTTATTTAATACCCATGATCAGAGAAAAAGATTTTCAAAGAAATAATGCATTTTCACTATATAATCAATAGAGCCCCGCCCTAACACCAGAACCCCGACCCAGGGGCCATGAAATTCACAATTTTGGAAGAGGCAGTCATGCTCATCATAACTATGTACTTAGTTAGTTTATTCAATACCCAGGAGCAGGGAAGAAGATTTTCAAAGAAATAATGCACTTTTAATATATGATGTATATAGCCACACCCTAGCACCACAACCCCTGACCCTGGGGCTATGAATTTCACAATTTTGGTAGAGGGCTCAATCCTTATTACAATCATGCCAACAGTTTGACTGCTTGATGTCCAGGAGTAAAGAAGAAGATTTTTAAAGATTGCATTATTTTTGGTGGTTTTAGCCCCACCCCTCAGGCCCTAGGGGGGCAGGGACCATGAAATTCAAAATTTTTGTTCCCCTTCACCCATAGGTGCTATATGCCAAAATTGGTTGAAATTGGTTGAGCGGTTTCAGAGAAGAAGCTTAAAATGTTCAAATGTTAACGCACAAGAAATGACGAACGCCGACGGACAAAAACGGACAGCAATAGGTCACCTGAGTGACTCAGGTGACCTAAAAATAAAAGGCTGGCCATCAAATGACATATGCTATAAACTGACCAGCAGTTCTTCTGTCTAATTCCCAAAGGATACAGATAACAGCTGCTTAGAGATCCTCTAACAGAAATGATTGAGACAGCTAGCCTTCCTACACTGAACTCATTAATTAATCTTTAACTGGATGCATGTCCACTCATTACTCCCAACGGATGAATGGATCTATACATACTATCTGCTTTGTAGTGCAATAAAAAATGCATATTTATGTCATTCTGAAATTAAATTTCATGAAAACAAAGATTTTTTTTTTAATTTGTTACAAAGATTTATGAATAGAAAAAAAAACTTGTGTAATCTTTATGCAACATTTTAATAAGGTTCCTGCATTACTCTTAGATTTGTAGGGAATATCTACCATAATTAAAACATTTTTTTTTAAATACTTGATTTTTTTTTTTTTAGATTTAATGTCAGACTGCTTTTAAGCTGCAATTCGTATGGACAACGGGCATGCTGATTCCAATATCCCCCCCCCCCCCCCCCCCCCCCCCCGAAGTATAATTAGTTATAATTATATAATACAATATCAAATTAGTTTATTATACAAAATCAAATTAATTATTCATACAATATCAAATATGTTTTAATTACTTTTCACCAAATTCATTTTAAAAGTTAGGCTAGCCAACTATTTAATCCAACACGGCTGATTCCTTTTTGCCCAGTTTCCAAGAGGTATAGATGACACCTGCTTGATCAGAGATGCTCTACCAGTTAGCTCCTCCCACTAAACTCATTATAATTTCTCTCTAATTTGACATGCAATTTTCTGTTATCAAAATTCTCCTTGACCAGTGCTTTATAATTACACCCATGGGAGAGGTGGAATTTCTCTTGTAACATTACATTTGTTATAGATTGCTGTAACATATATACCCAGGTAATGAAAAAAAAATAAGTATTTTCTTGATTTAACATTTTTAGAATAAGGTATACTGCAACAATCTTGCATTTTTTGGGATTGTGTAATCTAATAGTAAAATTTAATTTAACTTAAAGGTCACAGAGACCTTGAAATAGGTTGTGATACACCATCTACCTAAGATGCATAAATAGGCCAAGTTTGATGATTCTAAGTCCAATAGTTTTCTAGTTATGAGCCAGACAGGATTTTTCCATATTTGGCCATAGCATCTTAAGTAAAGGTCAGAGAGACCTACTTTTAGTGCATGACACACTTTCTACCCAAGATGTATCAGCAGACAAAGTTTGATAATCCTAGGCCTAATAGTATTAAAGTTATGAGCCGGAAACAAGAAAAGCTAAGGCCAAAAAAAATTAATCAATAGTTTCTCAGGCACCGCTGCATCAGGTCAAAAACGGCTGCATTGATCAATTTTTATTGACATTATGAAAAGGGAAATGACTTAATTTTCTATTTTTCAAATTGAAAAAGAAAATTGAGTTATTTCCCTTTTCATAACAATAATAGACGTTTTTCTTAGATAAAAAATATTCTTCTAGTCTATACAGTCCTTTATTAATTAACTTTTAAAGAAATGTTTAGAATAACATAATTTAAAGTTGAGTACTTATAATTAGTGTATTAAGAGAACAAAAAAGTGAGAATAAGTTAATATCATCATTTTGTTGAACCACTGACATGAAAAAAAGATACTTGCTTAAAAAAAAAATAAAATAAAAATAACCTGCCTGCCGCATTGAATTTTGAAATTTTTGGCCCGAGAAACCATTGACTGATTTTTTATGGCCTAACAGATAGACAGATCGACAGACAGATGGACATGAACACCGTAACATAATACGTCCCTTCTAAAGACAGGCGTTTTAGACGGGCGTATAAAAAAAGAACTGAAAAAAGAGGGAATGATTATTGTAACTTACTATGCCAGTAGCATTGGGAAGGAAAAATTAATTTACATCATATATGGACCTTAACTAAAATCAACAAAGTATATAATAGGTTGTTGTTACTCTTAACTGATGAACTTTAGGAAATGACTATTGACATATCAAATATGAAATTTGATTTTCGGTACCATGTAAATGCAACCTTACCTGATCACCATAAGTCCAGTCAATCTTGGATAAAACAATCAAACAGAACACGAAAATCTTGAATGGTGACTGTCCAATCTTAGATAAAACAATTAAACAGAACACGAAAATCTTGAATGGTGACTGTCCAATCTTTGATAAAACAATCAAACAGAACAGGAGAACCTTGGATGGTGAAAAAATTGGCCTTGGAAATTCTACTTTTTTCCGCTTTAATCTTTCATCTTCGCACTCATTCTGTTTTGCTGCTTTAAAAGATAATAATTACTTAGTATACATTATTATATAATAATTTTAAGTACACATGTACTTTATATTTATTACTGTATAATAATACTGCTAATTCTATTTAATCTGTTTCATTAGACATCAACAAAAGAAAACAAGGACTGAGAAAGAGAATCTATGTAAATGCATGTGAGATAGTTATTCTTGATAGCTCAGTATGTAAGTGGTTACCTCTGCATTTTTATGCACTGTTCATATAAATTTGTTAGTATATTCGCAAGGTAAATTATATGTCATAATGTATATTGTGTTCATGAAGTTGAGTCACTCTCTGAAATATTCAGCATAACATTCTTTTCATTTTTTTAAATTTAAGTCTCAAGATAAAACCTGAAAAGGACATATTGTCATCTATCTTAAAAGACTGAAATAAAGAGTTAGTTATGTAACTGATTTAAAAATAGATTTTTAATGAGACATGCAGAGTAAGCAATGTAATTAATTCAAAATGGATTTTTAATGAGACATACCTTTATTTGATTTTTTGTATGTATTCAAATTTTCTTCCTCCCTTTCTGAAACAAATGGTGAAGAAATGGCATCCTTATTCAATGCTCTGGCCTTGTCTTTGTCTGCGTTCAAATCTCCCCCTCCCTTTTCAAACGGTGAAGAAATGGCATCCTTATCCAATGCTCTGGCCCCATCTTTGTCTGCATTCAAATCTCCCCCTCCCTTTTCAAAAGAAGGAGAAGAAATGGAATTCTTACCCAATTCTCTGGCCCCATTTTTGTCTGCAATCAAATCTTCCCCTTCCTTTTCAAGAGAAGAAGAAATGGCATCCTTATCCAATTTTCTGGCCCCGTCTTTGTCTGCATTCAAATCTCCTCCTCCCTTTTCAAAAGAAGGAGAAGAAATGGCATCCGTATCCAATTCTTTGGCCCCATCCTTGTCTGCATTCAAATCTCCCCCTCCCGTTTCAGAAGGTGAAGATATGGCATACTTATCCAATGCTCCAGCCCCTTTTTTGTCTGTTTTTAAATCTTCCCCTTCTTTTTCTTTCTCTTCTTTTCCTGTAGAAAAAAGTGGACTGTAAATTCCCATGTAAAACTTGAATCACCTACATGTATTGTGTCCCTACCCTACTCCAATGGGCCATGATTTGATCAAATTTGAATCTGTACTGCCTGAAGATACATGCATATAAATCAGGGTCTTATAATTCTTGAAGAAAATATTTTTAAAGATCTCCAATCTTTGGAGAACCCTGATTTGTAAAACCTTGAATCCATGTAAATTTCTTAATTTTAGGTATTTCCCCTAGTGCACGGATTTATCAGCCTATTTTGGGAAATGCTATTTTTGGGGAATTGGGAAAAAATTATCGGCTTTTTGATGAAATTGGGAAAAATTAAAAATGTTGCTTAAATCATGTATTTAGGTGTAATTCATGTAACATTTCAGCATGAACTCTAAGTCTAATTTGGGCAACCAAACAGACAATTATATATGATCCAACTTTATACAAGATCAATTATGAATAACAGACTAATAAAAGTAAAATTGACTTCAATGAGTATAAAGTGTTTATACAACTTAGGGTAGTACATGTGTGTATGAGATTCCAATTTAGGTCATTACAGAATCTGTTTCTGGAGAATATAAACCTCCTGCAAGTATACATTTTCTCAAAGTCCTCTTTTAATATGTATTAATGCATTGAAAATGTATTTTTCTATTTGAAATAATGCCTACAGTCCTAACCATTCACTTGTAGATCAATTGAGTAGGTAGAAATAACTTAATCAATTTATATAATTACACAATATCACCATTTTCAGAACAAGAGACCCAAGGGCCTTAACGGTCACCTGAGTATAATACAACAATTTAGAAGTTAAATACACTGATAGATGAAGCTTTGTTGCCCTAAAGCAAGAGAAGTAGGAAGATCAGGATCAACAAAATAATTAGTCTAGTATTCAGTATCAACTCATAAATTAAGTTCTAATCTGCCCCAATACAACAATTTAGAAGTTAAATACACTGATAGATGAAGCTTTGTTGCCCTAAAGCAAGAGAAGTAGGAAGATCAGGATCAACAAAATAATTAGTCTAGTATTCAGTATCAACTCATAAATTAAGTTCTAAGAGGCACTCTTGCTCTTCATAACTATGTACTTACTAGTTACTTTATTTAATACCCAGGAGCAGAGAAGAAGATTTTCAAAGAAATAATGCACTTTCACTTTATGATCTATATAGCCCCACCCTGGGGCCAGAACCCCTGACCCAGGGGCCATAAATTTCACAATTTCCGAAGAGGCACTCTAAGACTTGCTCATCATAATTATGTACTTAGTTACTTTATTTAATACCCATGAGCACAGAAGAAGATTTTCAAAGAATTAATGCATTTTCACTATATAATCAATAGAGCCCCGCCCTAACACCAGAACCCCTGACCCTGGGGCCATGAATTTCACAATTTTGGAAGAGGCACTCTTGCTCTTCATAACTATGTACTTAGTTAGTTTATTCAATACCCAGGAGCAGAGAAGAAGATTTTCAAAGAAATAATGCACTTTCACTATATGATCTATATAGCCCCGCCCTAGCACCAGAACCCCTGACCCTGGGGCCATGAATTTCACAATTTTGGTAGAGGGCTCAATCCTTATTACAATCATGCCAACAGTTTGACTGCTTGATGTCCAGGAGTAAAGAAAAAGATTTTTAAAGATTGCATTATTTTCGGTGGTTTTAGCCCCACCCCTCAGGCCCCAGGGGGGCAGGGACCATGAAATTCACAATTTTTGTTCCCCTTCACCCATAGATGCTATATGCCAAATTTGGTTCAAATTGGTTAAAGGGTTATCAGAGAAAAAGCTAAAAATGTTCAAATGTTAACACACGACGCACGCGACGGACGAGAACGGATAGCAATAGGTCACCTGAGTGACTCAGGTGGCCTAAAAACGGAGGAAATTCGGATTAAAAGTTGGCGATGTTTTTACAGTGTTTTTTAAACATGTGTTATGACAGTCACTGCAGCTTTGCTTAATGACTTAAATAGATGAAAATTACAGACAATCTGACAATTTTCCTTGTGTTTTTCCAAGATAATTAAATATAAAAGCATTGTTCACCAATTCGGGAAAAATACTGCCAAATTGGGAAAAAGTGAACTCATTTTCAGTTGGGAATGGGGCCGAATTTCGGCCCATGAGAAGGTACTGATAAATCCCTGTAGTGTGGCATTTTATGTGGACCAACTTAAATCTCATTCACGAAAAGGATGTGCTGTGTCAAGTTTGGTTGTGACTAGCCAAGTGGTTCTGCTACAAAAGTTGAAAATGTGAAACGAGAGGCCCAAAGGCCTAGAATGGCTTTTCTGATAAATTGTATGATGCTATAACTTTTATTCTAAGCCTCTCAGTATCCTAAATATTTAGATAAAACCTTGAAAATTAGGCCACTGTGACCTCCTTTTTGGTTAACACACTCCGTGATGACCCAAGATGCATTAACTGACCAAGTTTGATGATTCTTAGCCTCTTTATTATTTGAAATATTTAAATATAGCCATGAAATTCCAAAAGTGGGTCACAGTGATCTAATCATCAGTTGACGCACTTTGAGAAACCAAGATACATCAACTAACAAAGTTTGATGATTGTATGCCAGTTAGTTTCTGAAATATTTAAATATATATACCCATAAAATTTAAATAGTGGGTCACTGTGACCTACTTTTCTTGTTGATAAACTTTGGGATGCATTTTAGGATGCATCAATGGACTAGGTTTGAGAATCCTAGGCTTCACAGTGTCTGAAATATGCCTTTAAAACAATTTGAAATGAATACCTGCAAAATTAAAAAGTAGATTATTGTGATCTACTTTTTGATAAATATATTTCAAGGCTCCAAGATGATTCTAAACCTCTGAGTGTCCAAAAAAAATGACCTTGAATGTTTTGAAAATGATTAGCCATAAAATTCAGAAAGTAGGTCATAGTGGCCTACTTTTTGGTTGACACATTTCAAGGCCCCATGATGAATAAACTGACAAGTTTGGATAACAAGAGGCCCATGGGCCACATCGCTCACCTGAGTAACTTTGGCCATGCTGTTCTTTACCAGATTTCCCCCCTTGTAATACCTATTGTGGCCCAGTTCTACAACCGGGGGTCATAATTTGAACAATTTAGAATCTACACTACCCCACGATGCTTCCACATAAGTTTCAGCTTTTCTGTCCCAGTAGTTCTTGAGAAGAAGATTTTTCAAGATTTTTCATATACATTTCAATGTAAAACTTGGATTCCCTATTGTGGCCCCGCCCTACCCCTAGGGGTCATGATTTGAATATTTTAAAATCTACACTACCCGAGGATGCTTCCACTGAAGTTTCAGCTTTTCTGGCTCAGTGGTTCTTGAGAAAAAGATTTTTAAAGATTTTTCTTATATATTTCAATGTAAAACTTGGATTCCCTATTGTAACCCCGTCCTACCACCTGGGGTCATGATTTGAACAATTTAGAATCTACACTATCCCAGGATGCTTCCACATAAGTTTTAGCTTTTCTGGCCCAGTGGTTCTTGAGAAGAAGATTTTTAATGACCCCAACCTATTTTTGTCTTTTCTTGATGATCTCCCCTTGTAAGGGGACTTGGCCCTTTATTTTAACAATTTAAACTCCCCTTCACCCAAGGATACTTTGTACCGAGTTTGGTTAAAATTGACCCAGTGGAGAAGAAGTTGAAAATGCAAAAAGTTTACAGATGGATGGATGGACAGACGGACGGACGATGGACAAAGGGTGATCAGAAAAGCTCACTTGAACTTTCAGCTCAGGTGAGCTAATCACAAACTTCAAAGTGTTCAATATACACATAAAAATTGACAAAATTTAATTTTTGGTCAACTTTGAAGTGCCCCAAAATTCTGATCCCTATTTCTTGCCCCCAGGTAATTGGAATATATTTGAACCGGATGATGCTTCCATATAAACATGATAAATATGACCAATCATGGCTTTGCTTTTCTTGAGAAGAAAATTTTTGAAAGATTTTTATTGAATATTTCCTATAAAACTTTATTTTGGCCCCACACTATCCCCAGGGGCCATGATTTGAATACTTGAAACTTGAATCTGCACTACCTGAGGATGCTTCCATATTAATATGATGGTCCATGGCTAGGCTGATTCCCATCAATTACTCATTCTGCCCCCCCCCCCACCCCCTGGGCCATGATTTGAATAAACATGAATCTACACTACCTGAGGATGCTCCCATATTAGTATGATCATACATGGCTGGGCTGTTCTTGAGATGAAAATTTTTACAGATTTTTTCTCCATATTCCTTTTGTAAAACTTTGATCACCCATTGAAGCCCCACCCTACCCCCATGGAGTCAAGATTAGAACAAACTTGAATCTACACTATCTTGGGAAGCTTTTAAATTTAAACAAATTTCATTTCATCTTTCCCAGTGGTTCTTGAGAAGAAGATTTATAAATGACCCCAACCTATTTTTGCCTATTCTTAATTATCTCCTCTTGGAAGGAGACACTGCTCTTTATTTGAACAAACTTGAATTCCCTTCACCCAAGGATACTTTGTGACAAGCTTGTGACAAAATTGGTTCTGCGGATCTTTAGAAGAATTGAAAATGTGAAAAGTTTTTGCATGATGCACAACGGCACAACAATTAATACAAAAACTGTTAGCAATAGGTCACCTGAGTGAATCAGGCGACCTAAAAAATGTCTACAGACATACAACAAACAGACAGATGCTGTACATTCTTTGATGAGTAATGCCCACTTGAGCTTTCATGAACTAGGTTAAAATTACTTTTCATTTTCCTAGCTATATGGGAAAAAAATGTATGAATGAATTATCATTCTGTCATATACTGTGCTATGTATGTATCTGCTAATTTGTCATCTGCATCAACATCACTAAAACAAAACAACAAAAGCTGGTTTTAACAAGATGTGTTTGTGAAACACTATGCACCCCGTGGCAACAAAGTTCTAAAAAGCTATTTTTAGCATATAGGCCACAGTCAAGGTCACAAGGTCATTGACCTTGGTGTCATTTGAAAGAACATAATTAGTGGAGTATGCATACCAAATATGAAGTCTCTATCTCCTATGGTTCAAAAGTTATGACAAAGGTTCGGAAAAGCTATTTTTAGCACATAGGTCACAATCATATTCACAAGGTCATTGACCTTGGTGTCATTTGAAAGAGCTTAATTAGTGGAGTATGCATACCAAATATGAAGTCTCTATCTCCTATGGTTCAAAAGTTATGGCGAAAGTTCGAAAAAGCTACATGTATTTTTAGATTATAGGTCACAGTCAAAGTCACAAGGTCATTGACCTTGGTGTCATTTGAAAGAGCTTAATTAGTGGAGTAAGCATACCAAATATGAAGTCTCTATCTCTCATGATTGAAAAGTAATGGCGAAGGTTAAAGTTGACAACAGACAGACAAACAGATAAACAGACAAACAGACAGACAGGACAAAAACAATATGCGCCCCCGATCTATCGATCCGGGCGCATAAAAAGTAGAACTTAAACACTATTTTGTGTACATACCCTTCAGTTGTAGTTGGGTTGGACCAGTCAGCCCCTTTTTCAGCTTCCTAAGCCCAACATAAGTACCCTCTATAATTCAGAGAGGAAACAATTTTAATAACTATGAAATATTTATTCACCATAAAGCTCACCAATTAAGGATGTACTGAAATCAGCAATTTTTACTATAATAGGATAAAAAGTAGATTAAACATTCTTTATTATTAAAATTAGCACTGTTTAGCTTTGTTTTTTTCCTTCAAATTTTGTTTTGAATGATAAAATTATTGCATTGAAATTTAAAAATTGAAAAGTTAATTCAGCTTATCTCTACAGTCTACATCTTTAATGATTTGTTAAACATAAATTTATACTCTATATAGCTAGTAAATTATTCATATCATGACAAGTACATGTATTTGCAGTGCAATAAATGCATCTAGATCAATCATTTAATTTACATACGTTTCTTGGGACCTTTTTGGTCAAATTCCAATTCAAAAATAGAGAGCAAGGGATTTCCATCCTTCATTGGGGAACTTTCCCCTTCCTTAAAAAAAAAGATAAAATCAAGATGATATATGCTGATTTAATGTCCGACAATGAAGGATGTAATGTGTGTACAATTGTAAGGCTACCTGAATTTAATTCTATGTTTAACATTACCTTTTACATTTAAAAACCTACTAGGGAGGGAAAAAAAATTGAACAAACAAAAATTTCAAACAATGAGTATTTACTCCTTTACGTGAATCAAAATACTGAAAATATTTGTGCATGGTGTAAATTTATTGTTTAATGATCAATTTTAGTTTTAAGTCAATGATAGACTCATCTCAAATATACCTCATAGAGGGTCCAATTATTGTCTCAGGGATCGACATTAACAGTTGTCCGATTGCCTGGGACAAGTAAATTCTCAGTTTGGGCAAGTGAAACTATAGATGTACTTGTCCGATCAGGCAAGTGAATATTAAGTGATTATAGAAATATACATATTATATGTATAGTTTACATTAATTTATAAATAAAATAATATGGAACACTTGAAGCCTGGTATTTGCGTTCAGAATTCCTTCGTAGCGTTTCTAGATTATACCATTCATTTAAAATCGAGCTGAACTTCGTTATTCTTTCTTTCGTGATAAATATGTTAACTTTTTACTAGAAAATTATATTATTTATTCACTCACAAAATATAAGTAACAAAATGTATCCCAATCAAGATATGTATGTTTCGTAGCAACTATCTTCCTTTAACGCTGCTTCACAATTATCTTTGAAAATCACAACTCACAAAAGGATCCTCCAAAAATTATTTTTAAAAATATGAATTTTATTTAAAGGAAACTGAGGGTTATTGCTGCATGGCAGTGTGTGTTCACAGGTTAAATTGACAAGGACAGTGGTACACATTTATGTACAAACGCATCGTCAATTTTTTTTTTTCGTGTGGTTCAACTTGCCAAGTTGACAGTAGTGTATGAATTAGTCACATTTCTTTTCTTCTCATGACATTTACAGTAATAAACAATATTCTTCTTTCCTAATTTTGGGCAACCAAATTTTGCATTCGGACAAGTCAACGTTTGAAATCACTTTCCCGAAGGGCAAGTGATATTCTAAAAGTTAATGTCTATCCCTGTGTCTATTACTATGGAATGGATTTTTTTAGTTGCTATTATTATATCCCTCCTTTTTAGAAAATGAATACCATGAAACTATTTCCTTCAGAGGGCACTATACTTTCTCCTTCTGATGACTATATTTACTCCCTGTAAAGTCAGAGCTACTTCCTGAAACTATTCCCTCATTAATCTTCATTAATATATTTTTAACCATTCAAATTGCTCAGTGGGCAGAGCGTTCAAAAAATCTCAAGTCTGTGACATAGTGTGATTAGTAATTTAACTATGATGTCAAAACAGTTCAACATGCAATGTCAAAAACATACTAGAATTATAGTAAAATGATGAGCACAATAATTCTTTAATGTGACAGTTTTATTTTTTAAACATGTAACATTGTTATTATTTTCCTCAGTGTTGATGCATTAAATATATATATATCAAAATTTTAGTTGCAAGTTTTTGAATTCCTCTATATTGCCTAAAAATGTTTGAGCATCTGTTTTATTAAATCTTCTTAGACTGTTTTGGTACAATAAAACAGTTACGGAATATGGTCATGTGGGAAATAGCAAAGTTTTGGTTCCTTTTGGCAGGAAACTATTTTCCTCGGCAACTTTGTCTCCTTCGGAACTAGTTTCCTCCCTCAGGAAACCATAAATTAGCTTTTTTCCTCATTTCCATTCCATAACTGTATAAAATTAAAAGCAAATCAGAATAGAAACTTTAAAAAAAACAAGAGGCCCATGGGCCACATCGCTCACCTGAGTAACTTTGGCCATACTGTTCATTACCAGACTTCCCCCCTTGTAATACCTATTTTGGCCCCGCCCTACCCCCAGGGGCCATGATTTGAACAATTTAGAATCTACACTACCCCAGGATGCTTCCACATAAGTTTCAGTTTTTCTGGCCCAGTGGTTCTTGAGAAGAAGATTTTTCAAGATTTTTCCTATATATTTCAATGTAAAACTTGGGATTCCCTATTGTGGCCCCGCCCTACCCCCGGGGGTCATGATTTTAACAATTTAGAATCTACACTACCCCAGGATGCTTCCACATAAGTTTCAGTTTTTCTGGCTCAGTGGTTCTTGAGAAGAAGATTTTTAAAGATTTCTCCTATATATTTCAATGTAAAACTTGGAATCCCTATTGTGGCCCCGCCCTACCCCCGGGGATCATGATTTGAACAATTTAGAATACATACTACCCCAGGATGCTTCCACATAAGTTTCAGCTTTTTTGGCCCAGTGGTTCTTGAGAAGAAGATTTTTAAAGATTTTTCCAATATATTTCAATGTAAAACTTGTATTCCCTATTGTGGCCCCGCCCTATCCCCGGGGGTCATGATTTGAACAATTTAGAATCTACACTACACCAGGATGCTTCCACATAAGTGTCAGCTTGTCTGGCCCAGTGGTTCTTGAGAAGAAGATTTTTAAAGATTTTTCTTATATATTTCAATGTAAAACTTGGATTCCCTACTGTGGCCTCGCCCTACCCCCAGGGGTCATGATTTGAACAACTTAGAATCTACACTACCCCAGGATGCTTCCACATAAGTTTCAGCTTTTCTGGCCCAGTGGTTCTTGAGAAGAAGATTTTTCAAGATTTTTCCTATATATTTCAATGTAAAACTTGGATTCCCTATTGTGGCCCCGCCCTACCCCCGGGGGTCATGATTTTTACAATTTAGAATCTACACTATCCCAGGATGCTTCCATATAAGTTTCAGTTTTTCTGGCCCAGTGGTTCCTGAGAAGAAGATTTTTCAAGATTTTTCCTATATATTTCAATGTAAAACTTGGATTCCCTATTGTGGCCCTGCCCTACCCCCGGGGGTCATGATTTTAACAATTTAGAATCTACACTATCCCAGGATGCTTCCGTATAAGTTTCAGTTTTTCTGGCCCAGTGGTTCTTGAGAAGAAGATTTTTTTATGACCCCACCCTATTTTTGTCTTTTCTTGATTATCTCCCCTTGTAAGGGGACTTGGCCCTTTATTTTAACAATTTAAACTCCCCTTCACCCAAGGATACTTTGTACCAAGTTTGGTTAAAATTGGCCCAGTGGTTCTTGAGAAGAAGTTGAAAATGTGAAAAGTTTACAGACGGACGGACGGACAGACGGACGGACGGATGGACAGACGGACAGACGGACGGACGACGGACAACGGGTGATCAGAAAAGCTCACTTGAGCTTTCAGCTCAGGTGAGCTAACAAGAGGCCCATGGGCCACATCGCTCACCTGAGTAACTTTGGCCATGCTGTTCTTTACCAAATTTCCCCTTGAAATACCTATTGTGGCCCCGCCCTACCCCAGGGGGTCCTGATTTGAACAATTAGAATCTACACTACCCAAGGATGCTTCCACATAAGGTTCAGCTTTTCTGGCCCAGTAGTTCTTGAGAAGAAGATTTTTAAAGATTTTTCCTATATATATCAATGTAAAACTTGGATTCCCTATTGTGGCCCCGCCCTACCCCCTGGGGTCATGATTTTAACATTTAGAATCTACACTACCCCAAGATGCTTCCACATAAGTTTCAGCTTTCCTGGCCCAGTGGTTCTTGAGAAGAAGATTTTTAAAGAATTTTCCTGTATATTACAATGTAAAACTTGGATTCCCTATTGTGGCCCCGCCCTATCCCCAGGGGTCATGATTTTAACAATTTAGAATCTACACTACCCCAGGATGCTTCCACATAAAGTTCAGCTTTTCTGGCCCAGTGGTTCTTGAGAAGAAGATTTTTAAAGATTTTTCCTATATATCAATGTAAAATTTGGATTCCCTATTGTGGCCCCGCCCCACCCCCGGGGGTCATGATTTTAACAATTTAGAATCTACACTACCCCAGGATGCTTCCATATAATTTTCAGCTTTTCTGGCCCAGTGGTTCTTGAGAGGATTTTTAAAGATTTTTCCTATATATTACAATGTAAACTTTGGATTCCCTATTGTGCCCCCGCCCTACCCCCAGGGGTCATGATTTTAAAAATTTAGAATCTACGCTACCCCAGGATGCTTCCACATAAGTTTCAGCTTTTCTGGCCCAGTGGTTCCTGAGAAGAAGATTTTTAAAGATTTTTCCTATATATTACAATGTAAAACTTGGATTCCCTATTGTGGCCCCGCCCTACCCCGGGGGGTCATGATTTTGACAATTTAGAATCTACACTACCCCAGGATGCTTCCACAAAAAGTTCAGCTTTTCTGGCCCAGTGGTTCTTGAGAAGAAGATTTTTAAAGATTTTTCCTATATATTTCAATGTAAAACTTGGATTCCCTATTGTGGCCCCGCCCTACCCCCGAGGGTCATGATTTTAACAATTTAGAATCTACGCTACCCCAGGATGCTTCCAAATAAGTTTCAGCTTTTCTGGCCCAGTGGTTCTTGAGAAGAAGATTTTTAAAGATTTTTCCTACATATTACAATGTAAAACTTGGATTCCCTATTGTGGCCCCGCCCTACCCCGGGGGTCATGATTTTGACAATTTAGAATCTACACTACCCCAGGATGCTTCCACAAAAAGTTCAGCTTTTCTGGCCTAGTGGTTCTTGAGAAGAAGATTTTTAAAGATTTTTCCTATATATTTCAATGTAAAACTTGGATTCCCTATTGTGGCCCCGCCCTACCCCCGGGGGTCATGATTTTAACAATTTAGAATCTACGCTACCCCAGGATGCTTCCACATAAGTTTCAGCTTTTCTGGCCCAGTGGTTCCTGAGAAGAAGATTTTTAAAGATTTTTCCAATATATTTCAATGTAAAATTTGGATTCCCTATTGTGGCCCCGCCCTACCCCCGGGGGTCATGATTTTGACAATTTAGAATCTACACTACCCCAGGACGCTTCCACAAAAAGTTCAGCTTTTCTGGCCCAGTGGTTCCTGAGAAGAAGATTTTTAAAGATTTTTCCTATATATTTCAATGTAAAACTTGGATTCCCTATTGTGGCCCCGCCCTACCCCCAGGGGTCATGATTTTAACAATTTAGAATCTACGCTACCCCAGGATGCTTCCACATAAGTTTCAGCTTTTCTGGCCCAGTGGTTCCTGAGAAGAAGATTTTTAAAGATTTTTCCTATATATTTCAATGTAAAATTTGGATTCCCTATTGTGGCCCCGCCCTACCCCCGGGGGTCATGATTTTAACAATTTAGAATTTACACTATCCCAAGATGCTTCCACATAAGTTTCAGCTTTTTTGGACCAGTGGTTCTTGAGAAGAAGATTTTTTAATGACCCCACCCTATTTTTGTCTTCTCTTGATTATCTCCCCTTGTGAGGGACTTGGCCCTTCATTTTAACAATTTAAATTCCCCTTCACCCAAGGATGCTTTGTACCAAGTTTGGTCAAAATTGGCCCAGTGGTTCTTGAGAAGAAGTCAAAAATGTGAAAAGTTTACAGACGGACGGACAGACAGATAGACAAACAGACGGACAGACGGACGGACGGACGACGGACAAAATGTGATCAGAAAAGCTCACTTGAGCCTTCGGCTCAGGTGAGCTAAAAAAAAGATGTTTTTTTAAGGTGCAAATTTCTCTGAAACCTATGTACATGGTTCACGTTAACCATAGAATTTTTTGGACAGTTTAATGGAAAACAAAAATACTGCCTTATGCCAAGGTGTTATTTCTATGCAATAAAACTGTGAACAGTGAGCACATGAAAACTGACACAAATATAACCTTGCAACTTACATCATTGCATATGTTAGCTGTAGGCCCAACTTTTTCATTCCAAGGTTTCTCAACTTCACAATCTTCTGAAATAATAAGCAAAATCATACATGTGAAATATCAACAAGATTTTCAAATTTTCACATTTATATAGAGGCCATATACAATTTATTATGTATTATCTGTTACATACCCCATTTGCTCTCTACTGAAGCATGAGGTAAGTTAATATTTTACATGCATACTTTTATTTCTAAAAGAATTTGACAATATTTTTACTAACTTTTCTTACTGACAACATAGTTCTTTCCAAAAATCATAAGGAAAAGGTTCTTACAGTATTCCAACAAATTATGAAGTTTTTTTTTTTTTATTTATTTATTTATTTATTTATTTATATTTTTTTTTTTGTGATATATTTAATATACAATATATTGTACTGAAAGGAAAAGAAATGCAGAGTAAACTTTCGAGGTGAAAATTTTTTATTAGTCCCCTACTGGTGAAACTGGAGGGGACTACAGGTTTCCTCTGAGTCTGTCCGTCCGTCCCTGTCTGTCTGTCAGTCTGTCCCACTTGGTTTTCCGCAATTTTTTTTTCTAAACTCTTGCAGATATTGAGCTGATTTTTGGTATGAGTGTATCTTGATGAGTTACAAATCAAGTTTGCATTTCGTTCCGCTTCAATGATTTTTGACAGAATTACAACCTTTTCAATTTTTCAGGGTTTTCCGCAATTTTTGTCTAAACGATTGCAGATATTGAGCTGATTTTTGGCATGTGACTTTACCTCAAAATTGTTGAGTTATAGATCAAGTTCACATTTTGTTCTGCTTCATTGATTTTTGACGGAATTATGACATTTTCCAATTTTAACGCGAACCAGATTACACTTGCCAGTGAGGGGATATTGCTAATGCAATACTTCCAGAATGCTTGTTTTTCCTTATGTATTTTCCAGCATTCCTATCTAACATTTTAAATCATCTTTTATTAAATAAACGAATATGTAACTAAAATCTGATCTAATTTTGCCTTATAATTCATTAGTTATTGAAACTCATATAATGATACCCCCAAAAGTGAAATTTTCAATATCTCCCTCACGCATCTGTCACAGCCTTGATTCTCTTTTGCACGGAGTTTATTAGTGTGTTTATCTTTTAAATAGGGATATTATTCAATCCTTTCAACAAGACAGCCCTTAGCTGAAAGAGACCAGCTTTGGCATTTCAAACCCTATCATCCACTTAGTCCCACAGATGTTCAAAGAGAAAAAGATGGATGGAGACCAATAAAGTGGGTAAATGTCATTGTTTGCGAGAATGTCTTCACAAAGTCTGGCTACATTTGGGTGGGGAGAGGAACACCAACATAAAGTTGACCAGCTCAAAAATCCAAATCGCGCAGTCGGTTTCTTTCAGTTTTAGGGTGAATGTAATGATTATGATAGCCCACTGTATTAATAGCAGTTTTAGTGGTAACCGTAGTAAGTTGGCAACTAAACAGATGGAAGGATGAATAACCCAATCTTGACGTGGCTGTGTTAAGCATCAATGTCACGGTTGGTTGGAAACCATTCTAGACCCTCTTTAACGACGGGTTAGACGTTCTATGGAGGGAAAATTTACAAGAAACTGCACAGCAACCCGTTGTTGCTTTTGTCCTTGCTTAGGCAATGTAAAAGCCAGACCCCATGGAACTTTCGTCGACTGTACCATGATTGCAAAAATTTTATATCATCTGTAAATATCGAAAAACAATGTGTATACCTCAAGTGCATCAAATGGCACTATATGATCGGTGATAAACTTGTAGTCATCAATTTGCACGTGTTTTTGCTTTTGTTTTGGCTTTTTACCACTTTCCCTATGCGACGTCATACATTTCACGGTTGAGTAATTCTGAACACTGATTTTAGGGCACAGTAACCAAGATTCTCATCTGACTAGTTTTCGTAATTTTTGGTCATGTGGTAAAAAAAATTCACATATTTTGTTACCCTACGTTTCTTTTTCCTTTCAGTATATATTTCAAAAATGTTTCATACATAAAACATATGAATTTCATATTAAAGTTTTATCAAAAGACAATTTCTCCTCCTTTCTTATGTTACAGGTGACTTTAGATGGATCACACTCTAATCTCTCAAAGTTCTTGATCTGTCAAAGTAAAACCCTGGTCCTGTTTTTTCCTCTCTATATAATTAAGCAAAACTCTTGATCTCTCAAACTTCGGACCTCTTGAAAGTTCCCCATCTCTTGAACAAAGACCTGGGTTCCGTTACAAAGACTTCATTGTTTTTTTACTTATTATCTCTCTCTGTGTTAATTGGGGAGGGGTGGTGGGGGGATTAGGGGAGTTAAGGTAACATATCAACCTATTATCATTTTCATATGACAAAGGGCAGTCTGGTGAAATGCTTTACGGACTAGTGAAAATCAAAAGTCACTAGTTTAGACAGATAGTGCTTAAAAAAATTAATTTTGAGGGAAGTCAATGTCAAAAGTATCACAGGATGTACTATGTTGAATAAGGCTAAAATTATTTTATTGTCATCTACATCTGCTGTTATGCACTAAAAGTTGGAGATAACACAAGTCTGTGCATTGTTATTCCTGGAGATATATATAAAAGATCTTATATTAACATGTGAACATATTTTTTTCCTGTTGTTGTTTCTTCTATTTAAATACTGCATACAGGGTTATTTTCGCCCTGTTTTATTTTCGCCCTTTCACACTTGCAAACAATTTTGCCCCATTTTAAATTCGCCCACTCATAGTTTTGTTTAAGAAATTATACTGTATTCTTTCAATTTGCCCCGTTTTAAATTCGCCCAAATGAGGGTAGGGCGAAAGGGGCGAAAATAAAACGGGGGCGAAAATTTCCCTGTATACAGTACAACTAAATTTTATTTTAAATTGTAAAACTTTTAGAAAAAATTGTACAAGAGACAATTTAAAACTACAAAAATTATTCCAATACCTTAAAGTTGGCATACAATAAAAAATGTCCAGGAGATGCTTGCAGTTACCATGGTTACATTCATACAACAATGTTTATGGATTGTGATATACATTCAATTCAGTAGTTTTATGTTAGCCCAATAACTGCAATTTTTGGTCAGAATATGAGCATAGAAATGAATCGAGAACAAATGCATATTGAAACATGATCTTTGTTTGTGAATTACCTGTAAATTACAAATGAAAACCTCCTAAAATGTGTTCACTCAGCACTTTTTGTAAATATGAAAATAGAACCATAAATATCTGGATCTGCAAATTCAGAATTCATTTCACTATTGATCTCTTGAACCCCTCCTTGTCTCAAACTTTTTTATAAGGTCCCTTGAAATTCTCGAGATTGAGAGTCACCTGTTCATATAGAGTTTCTTTTTACTTTCCATTTACCTCATGTCTTTGATGTTATTATTAAAATTAGAATTACTTTTGTATCACCAGTTTTTATATCCATTGAAAATATCATGAATAGAAAGCCTCTTTTAGAGGTTTATATCAATGGATATAAAAACTGGAGATATTTTTGAAGCACTGAGTGTTCCACTGTCTTTTCTGTATTGTGTGATAATTAAATTCTTTCATCTAGCTAATTTACAGAGCATCAATAACTGTTGTTACAGTACAAAAAAGTTACCTTTCTTCTCTAACTCCTTATCTACCATCATTCCTGAAGCGAATATTTCCATGAATTTTGCAACTTCTAGTGGCACTGCTGGCATGGTAAATCTTCAGTTAAAAGAAACAAAATTTTAAGTTTTTTATGTAACTTATGAGTCAGCTAATATTGCTTCTAGTACTACAGTCTTCAAAAACAATAGAATATTATAATGTATTTATGTATTTTCAAAATTAATATTTTAATTAGATAATGTATAAAAAATACTAACTCTAGTCTCTACATATAATTCAAAGAATTTTCAATAGCAAATGGATCAAGCTTTAATCTACATTAATTTACATATTAACATACCCATAATATAAAGAAACTGGTCCCATCTTTGGATTTACTGCAACAACAACAACTAAAAAGAAAATTGAATAATTACCACATACATACTTTGATTAATTATGTTAACGTACATGTGCATACAGTTAAAATTCAGATTCTCACACTTATCAATGGAGGCTGAAAAAACAGTAATCTCAGAGTCTGTTTATAGCATATTTCAACAGAATTTTCAAAACCATGTATGTACATTGTACACTATTTTTATATGCAGTGCATGTAAGACAGTATATTGGTATCAGAGTTTACAGGTAGTTTAGTAAAATACTGTAGATTCCTAAATCTACACAATGAATTTATTAATGCATAATTTCACAAGAAGCACCACTCACAAACTTAAATCACTCAATTTTTTTCTATGTTGCTGAAATACATGTGAAAACTCCAGATCAACAGTCTGCTAGCTATAAATTCATCTTTAATTTCATGTTCTCATGATATGATGTCTACAAGACATATGTGATATTAATTACTCATATATTAAGATATGGAAGGTACAGTACAAAGACGTAATCCATTTACATGCATCTGAAAAAATATAAAAATTTTGTGTAATGACTGTTTAATCATGTTAACTCTGATCATTGTTTACACTGAACAAAGTTACTCTCCCTGCCTGACAATGATAATCTCTTCCTTACAATATGTTTTTCACTTTTTATGCTTTATTTCAGGCAGGTAGTATCAGCAAGGACACCCCCCCCCTTTCTTTTACTTTTTCCTTAATTTAATCAAATATGAAAATGTTCATTGAAGGAATGGTTGTCCATCCTCCCCTTTTGTTCCAGTGGTCAAATCATCCCATCTAAATGAATCCAAAGAGCTATTTTATTGTCAAAAAGTTGGAACCTACAGTTTGGCAATCAACAGTGGTCAACCCCACCCCATACACACACACATATATACTTTCAATAACGGTACGACGTGTCTGTACTTTGCTACACTGCCAACATACAAAACGATAGACAATATCAACTGAACTTGAATAAAAACCTAGAAAATAGCAAAATCAACCCACGTGGGCGTTTTACCTGTATACCCAAATTATCCATGTTCTTGTTGTGGATCTCTTCAATTCATAAATGTGTTTTTGCTAAAACCATTCATAGTTACTTACTTATTTACTATTACCCACGTGGGTAAATTTTTGTAGGTCTTTAATCTGTTAATAGGCTTCAAATACCTGTAGGTCCAGGTCTCCTATAAAACGGAAATGAAATGTAACACGCGCATGTATGTAACAGTAAAACCAAACACAGATGAATCCGAAACTAAATGAAAGATATTAATATAATTAATAAATTCTTGATATATTTGATCAGTATTATACTGAGTATATAAATGATAATTTTGATTTCGAAAAAATAGACATTTGGGATATAGAGGATATTCAATGTTTTGTAGTTGGATATGGAATTTATTTCATGAGTGGGACCATCTTCCCAAGTCAAGGGTTTTTGATCCGCTCCGCTCCACGTAAACCCTTGACTGGAATGAGGCCAATCAGAGAGCGCATTTCTAACCCCGTCAAACTCTGCCTATTCGGTCAAGGGTTTATGTGGAGCGGATCAAAAACCCTTGACTTGGGAAGATGGAGTGGGACAGGATTTTTTTTTTTTATATTTTAAAATATAAAAAAAAATCCTGTCTCACGAGTGAAATATATTCCATATCCAACTACAAAACATTGAATTTTCTGTTTATTACATTTTCTTCGATTTTCCCTTTGCCTCTGTCTTTTCTTAACACAGTGTCATAGGCTGTGACGTCATAGTTGAGCAGTTGAGACGTCATAGCATTGAAAACATTGTAACATGTATTTTAGTATAGTCTGGTCCTGATTTTTAAAAAGAAGGATAGAAATAAGTTTTAACGGCAAATAATTATTATTTGGTCCAGCATAGCTTTCTATCCTATTTCAAGTATGCTGAAACCGAAAAAATATGCTGGCCTTCATAAACATGGCGTTAAAGAGGTCAAAATGGCGATTCAAAATGGCGGACATCCAATTTTTATAATTATTTCTTAATGTCGTTCAGATATGAGAAATAATGCATGAATATCTTACTGAACATAATGCAACTATAAAGATTATAATAGAACACTAAAATTATCACTTTAATTTAAAAAAATTAGCCGATTAATTTGAAAGTTGTGTTAATTAGCTCAAAATGGCGATTCGAATGATGAATTTCTTGTTTGTTTGTTTATTTTTTTTTCTCTCAGACCATACAATGGTATATGAGGTACAAGAACATATTTACATATATACAAAATACAAAGTCAAGTAAGGAAGAGTAGTATCAAATGAGAGTATTACTGAAAACAGGCCAATATCTTTTTAACAAACAAAGACAGCTTTATCAGTGAGTCAACATTTGTGGTGGACATAAGATTCTCCAATTTATAAGTATTTACATGAAACCAATACTTCTTATCAATAAGTTTCATACGTAATGAAGAAAAGTATGGACAATCCATTACATAATGGAATTCATCACCTAAAGTATTTTTATCACATAAATTACATATTCTTAAAGATCTGTCAGTATTAGTCCATCTACCAGCTTCCGATTGGGAGTTTGTGATTACAAATTCTAAATTTTGTTAATATAATTCTTAAATCTTTTGGGAGTTTACTTAGGTATATTTCTCGTCCAAAATTGTTTTTAAAAATCCTAAATCCTCAATTCTGAGTCGTTTTGCAGAAAATAAAGAAAAACGAATTAGGGTTTACATTTTAAAATTAAAAAAAATAATGTTTAAATATTCAATAAAACTTTCAAGACATTATTGTTACTTGTGGTTTTTATGGCACTGATCTTTGTTTTATGACTTCTATTATTTAGACAAACTTTTGACGACATCCACCGAGAACTTTTACCTTTTACTTGTGAATGTCTCACAATGCTTCTTTCTATAAAAAGATATTAATATTATACAATAATGCTGTTTTGAGGACAATATGACGACTAAGCTACCCGAAGAGCAGTATTCCCCGAGCCCAAAGGGCGAGGGAATATTGTACTTCGAGGGTTGCTAAATCATCTTGGAATTTCTTGATCTTTTTTTAGTCAGTGTAGAAAAAACAAATGTTAATGTTCACTTGGAAGATCTATTGCAACATAACTTGGTATAACTTTAAAATGATGGATCTCAACCAATCAGAAAGCTAGGAATTATTAAATCGTATCATAAATTTGACTGTAATATCTATGAACATATAATTAAGGATAATCAAAACCAGCATAATATGCGTAAACTACAAATATTCATGACTGCCCAGCTCTGATTCTTCGTCCCTGTATTTGCATTTTGTAATTAATAGCCAACAAAAATGTGTATCAATCGTATTCACAGTTACTGAATGTCGTGAACAGATAGACTTGTATTGTTAAATTTAAAATCAACTTGTTTAAGAATCACGTACATATGTTCAAATTTCAAAATCAAAATTCATAATCCAAACATACTTTTTTGTCATACTAGGATCGAATTCGGTGTCTATTCTTTTGAAATTTACAAAATCGGAATCAGGAAAATACTTGTGTTCAAACCCCCTCAATTCTTTTGATACGACCATACACTATCCTAACAGAGTAATGTGTACCAATTTGCCTTGTAAAATTCTTATATAGAGTTCAAACAAGAAAATTTTGCCGTCAAGAGAAGTGTTAGAACATTTGATTCCAGATCAAAGTCAAGAAAGTCAAGAATGGCTGAAGCCTATCAGTAAGAAAGGTGATACGTATTATAGTAGGAATCACGAAGAATCAGCAGGTGCTCTTGGATTGCACAATTATCCAAGTTTTCTTGTCAAAAATGCACATCATGTGATTCAAGATGATAAACTCTAGGAATTTTCTTGCTAATGGATGGTCACAAAACAGAAATCTACTTGTCATATCAGAGATTTTTTCCTATTTGCACAAGCTTTTGAACATAAATTTGTTGTTCCTTGACCTGTTGTAAAGACCAAAATTCCTGAGACTGACTGAATCACATAGCATTTAAAGCTGGAATAGAGGAACACACTAAGCTCGTTCAAGTGCTAATTTCAAAAGCTAGTACAAAGGGTTCAGTGAAATCGGGCAAGAAATCAGTTATACTCAGTCTGGATGTTGTGCTGAGGGATGTTGACGTAAGAGTGCGAGCTGATAATGACAACGATGCAGCAGCTTTGATTTTAGGTGGAAATGCAAGGATTGGTTCAGAGCTTTGGAACAGAGTCAAACATTTGGAATCTCTTTAGTCAAGTTTGTTTCACTTATTTCCAGACAAAATAAAACTTTTCTAGCATTGATTTTTTGTTTGTTCATTAAAGGGACTAGTCAATTTACCATCAACACTCAGAACAAAGGGGCACCAACCATTTAGAAGGGTTGTAGAAAAAAGAGAAATTCCTCTTCCTACTAACTTTGCTATACCTTGGGGGAAAACCTGTTACACTGTCTCCTCCAACCACCCATTATGGAAAACATTGCTAACGCTCGCTAGATGTGTGGGAGGGAGGGGGAAGGGCAGTGTGGACGGTTGAAGATTGAATGAAATGCGAGAATGATGTAGGTTAAAATATTCTATTATAATGTGTAAAAGTTAATATACGCACTAGTCTGACTAGATGAATATACATTGTAAATTTTGCACTAGAAGTAAAAATAGTCACGTGCAAATCTTGCTTACCCCCATTCACATGCCCTAAAATACACCCA